TGCTATCGTCGACATCCAACTTCAGATCCATATGCCCATTGTACTCAATTCAGCCCACTAATAGATTGTTTGTCTACAAGGGAAAGTTGTTTCCTCCACCAGTGGAAATTTGGGCCGTTGCTGTGGCGATGCGCTCTTTGCAAAGAAAATTGATGCTGTTTTTGTGGGTATGAACCGAGGCGAAAATTTTGCACGTACATCAAGCTTGGCAAAAAAAAAAAATATTTTGGAGCGTTATTGGGCAATTTCTTAAAAATGGCTCAGTAGTGCCCACTAAACATTTTTAACAAAGCACCCCTGGTTGAAAATTTCATCTCGAGCCATGAAAATTAGGAGGCATATGGAACTGCCCAAAATCTCCAACAAAAATCAAATCCAAAAAAAAGTTGTATAGAGTCAATTGGGAGTCTGCCGTACAAAAGTCCACTCTTTGTCCTCCCTTGTAGGACAACATTGACATACTGGTAGGACGGCGACATGTTACGCATCCTAAACTCTGCACTAGTTGACAACAAATGCTTCACTAGGAGCATCACTCTCATGCAGAGGTCCTACTAGAATGCCAAAGTCCTGCTTGTGAAGGTCGATGGCCCTTAAGCCAGATATCAAGAATATCAAAGAACGTTCCATAGTTCACCAGTTAGGTTTCATTAAGTACTAATAGGCTTAAAGTGGCACTAGTAGTAGGAGGGGGCGGTGGGGACCGGTGTGTCAATTGTCGAAGCACATTCTAATACATGGGTCTGCAGCTGTAGATCAAGTCGATGGAATAACTGCTCCCATGGCTTTCTGTAGGTGGCCCGATGGGGCACTGGGAGTGGAATAAGCATTGCTCGGAAGACGTCATTCTACTAGTGCACCGAATCGTCTCACATGTGAGTACAACATACATAGACCTTTTAAGTTGGGTATCCAGGATAGCGCATCCATGCTCCGCCGGCTTTCCGTGGCCCCTTTTGAAGGGCCATTAAACCTGCTTGACACGATCCATGAAACGCACGCTCGTCACAGGCAATGAAAAGTGAGGGCACATAAACATCGATATGACTCAGCACATGCGTGCACGTGTGAAAAAAAAACGTCCCCCGCCGGCACTGAGCGTGAGATTTATAGTGTTGTGGACTGTTTTGCTGACAACGTCCCCGCAGTTCTGTCTCGACGGGGCTCCCACCTGGACTTTGACGCAGTTATGCCCGAGACCCCCGCCGGGCCTTGTTTGCCCAGGTTTTGGGGTTGCCACGGCGATTGCGGCAGCGTTTCCTATTCGATGACCTCGCGATACGCTTGGGCCACCCGGACGACTCTCGGCACAGTTCGGCTGTCGGGCAAAAGGCGGACAGAAACGTGTCGGTGTGAATGTATGGACAGATGGCGAACGGCAGCTGGCTCACCTTTGAGGTTCTCCTCATATTCGCACAGCGTCCTGGTGCAAATCTCGTTGTTGATCACGTAGACGCGATGGCGGCTGAGACACAAGCAGGAAGAAATGACACGCTACTCACCCCAAAAGGTAAGGGAGATTCACCTGTAAACTTTTGAATGTCCGACGGCGCCGTGCTTTATTTATGTATTTATTTATTGCGCAACGAGGAGCTGAATCTCAAAATTCACAACATTAGTTAGATCCATGAAAAATCTTCCAAGTAAGTCTACTTCAATGTCTTTCTGTGACTCTTCCAGTCTCTCTCTCTTGCGCCCTGCTGATGTCATTCTATGAGCGCCCGAGGTCATTCTTTGGCAACAGATGATCAGAACCTTCTTTTAGGAACGGAAACCCAACAAGTCAGCAGACGTGCACTGCAGCCAAAATGTGCCACACGCGTTCAAACAGCCCCAAATTGAACGACTTACATCGCACATATAGCCGCTGCGCACGAGTGTGTATTTCATCAACAACTAAAAGAGGCCTTAGCTGGCCTCTTTTAGTCAAATAATTGAACGTGTGAGAGATCAGCCACCACTGATCTTTGCCCTCTGCTGGCACACACCTGTAAATGCAGCGTTCGCCCACGCATCTCTTCATGGGCCGATGCACCGAGTACATCCTGGTGCACAGGTACATCTCCTCCCTGCAGTCTACACGGGCACACAAGCAGAGGTGTCAAAATATCATTCCATCGTATTATTCTTGGTAAAAAAAAAAATGCCGTTATGACATCATGAAATCAAAATGAAAACTAGCTGAGCATTTTTTTTTTTGGCCACACTTTCTCCTTCAGTGCATGTGCTGCTCATGCCTTGGCCACCTGGGGGCAGTATAAGACTCATTCGAATAAATTGTACTGGACTCTCAGCTCCTCTCTTGGCTTCTCACGATGGCAGTAATCATCATTCTTTGCAGAGGATAAAGAATATCTGCCTACATGTGTTTCGTCTTCGTTTGTTTTTAGATCGACGCTGCTTGAAATGTAACAGCACCCCCACGCAGATGCTAATTGCGAGCACGTGTGCCTACGGTGTTTTCCGTTGTATGCCAGCGGCGGCTATGCGATTGCAATAAGACTGACCACTTTTAGCCTGATACAAGTTGCACCTTTTTATGGGAGGGTGGGAGCGAGTGCCTTTTCAACCTGCAGATTTACACTTGAAGGAATTCAGTAAATAGATATTAGAGATGAGTTCAAGAATAAATGACTGAAATAGAACTACACAGAGCAGACCAAATTGTTTGTCGTCAAAAGATGATTAACTTCAAACTACTGCCCAAAGGCAAACATCGTTTGGTTTTTTCTTTTTTTTTTTTTGTTTCCCCAATGTTGTTATTTATTTATTTGGCTCCAAGCATGGCTTTGGTTAGTCACAAAATACATTCCTTGCGGGGAACAGATATAAAAATTACTGAGGGGTTGGTCATTGGCAAAAATGCCAGCACTGACTCTTATATTTGAATGATTTATTGATTTGTTTATTTGTCCCAGTTGACACTTTGCTTCTCTTTGTTTATAGCTCTTTTTACTTTGGAGGTTGGAAGTAACAAGCCTATTTTGGCAAAGCAAAGACTACAGATTTTTGTCCAGTCTCCCTAAGTACAGTCAGAATACATTTCTACTTGCCACCAATGTGGCAGGTTGTGGTGGCCCACTTACTGGCTGGCGGGAGGGTCCTGGCGGGTGCCTCGGTGGTCTCTGGTGACGAGAAAAAGGAAAGTCACAGCGCAATATGCAGCAATGTGTTGATCAATAAGAGGAGTCTTTTCGTGAAACGTTACCGATCTCCTGGGCTTGGACGACAGCTGTGAGTGCTGTGGAACGCACACATATAAAAAAGAGGGCAGTTTTATTTATTGATCGGGAAAAAAAATAAAAACAAACACGAGAGCGACTGGAGCATCATGAAGCGAGCTGATTTGTGCGTCTGTTTGGCAGCGTTACCGTGGAGACCGCAGAGGAGCAGGACCACTGAAAGGTTCCCCATTGCAAAGGTTGAGCTTGGCAAACGAGGAAAGAGGAAAAGGTCAGACCAAAAAAAAAAAGTTAAATATCTTCATGTTATTTATGTGTGGGTTTTTTTTCATTTGAAGTCATTGTATAGCTGTACATATAGTGCAGTGTGATGATGCCTCTTCAGACTAAAATGGCCCATGTTTTCACTCTTTCATTTATTTATTTCAAAGAATCTTTCAGAGAAGGGAAGTATAAATAAACAACGGAATGAAGACAATTGGGTTATCGCTGCGCATGTTGCTGTGTTCACAGTTAAACCAATCACATTCAATCGCATGTTAAAGAGGCGTCAGTACACATCTGCCATCATTTAAAGTGCCTCTGGTTAACCCCAAATAAAGTTCAGCTGTTCTATGAGGCATTTCGTGACTTTTTTCTCTTTTTCCAGTCAAAGCCTGATGGTTTTGAAACTGTTCCGAATTCCGTATTAGTATTATTGTTGTTCTTATTAATGTTGTTTTGATGACTACAATGTTATTTTAATTGGAGGGGTGGTTCCAGTTAAAAAAAAAAAAAAAACTCAATCACTTATGTAACGTTTATTGTCATATTGCTTAGCAGCATCATTTTTATGAACCTCTCACTAACTTAGTATACGTTAACACAAATGATTTTGACCAAAGCTCAAGGTGCCGTTGAAACTAGGCCGCATATGACCCACAGGCCTCAGCCAACCTCGCCTCCTAAATGTTAAGGGACGATGGTGTAGCTTAGCTGACACTACATTACGAATGCACCGTTCTCACAGATTTTTTTTTTTTAAGGGCGTTTTTAAAGCTATTCTCATTCGCAACTCCGGTTGCTTTGTCTCGCTTCCCACACTGCATCATTCCTCTCGCAATGTGTCAGAGCAACTTAGTCCAAGTTGTGAGTTCTCTTGAAAGAATGTGTGTGTGGGTTTTTTTTTTGTGTGCCCAAAATGAGCACCCCTCCACCCTTTTTTCCTCTGGAGAAATCAACACTTTCCAACTGGTCACTTTCTGAAGATCACTTTAGGCACAGCCTGTTGAGCATGTGGGTCATGCCTTTTCAATGTACACGCATTCTCTTAGCGTGCTTTGGCGGGTGATGTGTTTGGCTGTCGCTGAATCTGTCTACACGCATACCATTCGCAATTTGTGCAAAATCTCTTCGTTTTCACAGGATGAACTACAATCGTAAGCATGCATATAACACACAAGGCAGAAACATGCTTCAAGGTAAACAATCGACATATATTTGCTGTTAAGTGTCCTCAAAACCCTGAAGAAAAAAAAAAAAACGAGACGACAATACTCACAACTTTTGCTGTTGTCCGAACCTGCTTTGGTTTCACGACTCCTTTGTCCTCTTGTTGTTTTCTCCTCCTTCTCTCCTTCTCCCTCCTCCTTGCCTTGTCCCTCGTTGTTTTCAGCATTTCTCCCTGCCCCATTCCAACGAGCCTAATTGATAACACACTGCTTTTGTTTTCGATTCACCTCATTTTTTTTTTCATCATAATTCTTATTTTCCGAAGATGTCTCCGCTTATCATCACCGCAGTGAAAACACACCTCATCAACCAAAAGGCGTAAAGTTCATTCATCAGTCGTTGACTAAAATACATTCAAATCTCAGGGATGTTTAATATTGTTGGCACGGTGAGCTAGCGGTTAGCACATCTGCCTCAAAGTTTCCTGGTCAGAGGTTTGATTCAGGGCGCTGGCCTTGACAAACAACCATTCACGCTTTATTGATGCAAGCAAATATTATTCAGGGAGTGTCTGAGCGTACTTTAAAGGTGTACTATTCACTCTTTTAGAGGAAAAGTATGAATAAACAACTGAAACAATGCGGTTGCGTAAGTGTGGACACCCTCTTGTTACCGGGCATGTTACTGTGTTCACACTTAAACCAATCACATTCAATCTCGTGTTAAATAGGCATCAGTACATTTAAAGTGCTTCTGGTGTACCCCAAATAAAGTTCAGCTGTTCTCCTCGGCAATGTTTGGGTAGTAATTGGGTAATATCCAGTTATCTGTACGGGACTGTTTTAGAAACAACCAGCAGGAGGAGCCAAAGTGTCAGTGGTAGCAGCATTGAAAAAAGTTCAGCTGTGTGAGGGGCCAAACAAGGTCGCAGGAGAGACTTTGATGACAGTTTGACTGATGTGGGGGCAGCGTATGCAAAACAGGGACGCTCCATCCAGTGGGCCTGTCAAGCTGACACGCCAGACCGCAACGGACTGGAAAACATTGCAAGACAACCAAAAACAACCGGATGACGATTGTGATAGCGGAGAAGTTGGTCAGGTGGCCACTGGTGAGGCCGCTTAAAACAAATGTCCACAAACACCAGGTCCGCGCACCGGTACCGGGCCGCACAAGGACAGACCAGCGAGCTGTGAGCAAATTGACTCCATCAGACGTGGCGGAAATCTGCGCGAGTCGAGCCAATCGGAGTCCCCCTTCTAAGATTGCTTTCCAAGTTTAAACTAACAGAATCCGCTAATAAATGAAAGAAGACGCTGTAAACGGAAAGTCACAAATTGACCAAACGTACAGCTAATCAATCGGATGAAAGCAACAATCAATCGTGTCGTCTTTTGATCAGTCACATTTGCTAGTAGCAATGATGCTAACGCCGTATGTAGGATCATAACTTTAAAAATTATTACGTTTACATTATTAGGCGTATTTATTCTTTCTTATTGGTCCATTTCTTAGTAGGCTACTGAGTTATTTTATTTGATTCTACATTTGTGGTACAGTAGAATAAAGTTTTGAAATGAATGAAAAAAAAAGTTTAATTAGTCTATAGGTATAAAGGTATATGATACAGAGTAAAAAAATCATTTTTATTATTATACTTAAGTACTTTGTACATGTCAGAGGCTGTACTCGCTTTTACTCAGGTACAGTAGACGAATCTGTACTTTTTTTTTTTTTTTTACACAATTGTCGTCTACTTAAGTTACAGTTTGTGAGTTCTTCCACAACCTCTATGTAGGAGGTCAGGTGACGCAGAAAGAACGCATGAAACACACCGGACAGTAAACACACGATAAACTCTCGGCTCGTTTATTACCCTGACGCGGTTTGTTGCCGCATGCCAGCGCTGCCTCACACGTTCACAACCGCTTTCCATTTCACCCAGGACATGCCCCCTCCCCTTTCTGCGTCTCCCTCGGGTGCTACGGAAAAATCTTTCGCCATTTTCAGCGTCTCCCTCTGGGACTGTGAGAACCCCAAAACTCGAGCTGAAGTGCTCTCATGAATCAGGGTTGAGAACTGGAAGCTGTTGGAAGGTAATCAAAGCCTAATGTCGGAGAACGGTTGGATCGTGGGGGGAATTTTAATACGTGATGACACTGGTGACCGCAAGGATGAATTTCAGACATTTGGACGTCTGAATTTACTTCCACACCGCAGCCATCAATCAAGCTATCGTTTCACTGCTATACTGAGAGAAGCATACAGTAGCATCTCTTATATATATCTCGAGCATATATCTGTATTTAATACAACATTTTTTTTTCCAATTCCGTCTGAATTTACTTCCACACCGCAGCCATCAATCAAGCTATCATTTCACTGCTATACTGAGAGAAGCATACAGTAGCATCTCTTATATATCTCTCTAGCATATATCTGTATTTAATATAACATTTTTTTTCCAATTTAAATACACAGACAGCTGTTTAAGGTTAAACTGATACAATCAAAACAATCTCAATGAAAACTTGACACAAACAGCATTTTTGGTGATTTCTTGCCAGCATCACGCTCATTTTTTTTTTTCTCCACATTTTACTGTCTTGACATCATAAGCTTCCTTCAATTTTACACCGCCGCCCTCTTTAGCTGTTTCGCTGCGTTTCCTGGAACAAGCAGGTTGTAATTTCAGGGGGACAATTAAACCAACTATTCTCGAAAAGAACGCGTTAGGTTAAAAGCAGATATGTCCTGGAACAAGCAGGTTGTAATTTCAGGGGGACAAACCAACTATTCTCGAAAAGAACGCGTTAGGGTAAAAGCAGATATGAGCGCGTTGGCGAGGATTGAGTGCTCGAGCCTAAGTGTCGCGTGGGTTGAAACGAAAAATCGATTCAAAAAGGAGAGCACTAATTCAAATCAGACAGACCGTCCGAGACACACGTTGGTTTTTGCTGTTTCAGGCCTGTGTGCGCCAGGCAAGCCTGACGGTGTGCATTAGGAGGACGGTGCCGTGCAGATAGTAGTGGCAAGGTGATGAAGTGCAGTGTGTGTAAATAGACGAGCCGGGGGGGTCTATTTATAAACGGGCGTTGAGTAGCCCTTTAGCTGGGGTTAGCGCAGGAACTGCATTAGCCACTGCTACAAAGTCAAACTCTTACTAAGCAGCACAATGGAAGTGTTACTTGGAAATCTTAAGTCATGTTTCATCCTCCCCCTTTTTTTTTTTTTTTTTTTAAATTAGCGCAGCCAGAGTGAATCCATCGTTTAGCTGTCCGAGGTTGTTCCGATTTATTTTGACTGGCAGAATCACCATGGCATGATTCAGTGTACCGAATGGCCATGAAACTTTGCTTCACATTTTTTCGGGGGGCGCCGTAACCTGAGTGTGAGTGATTTTTCATGCAGTGATTGTGCCCCTGTCACAGATGTAGGGCAAGCATTAAGTATGGAGGTCAGGGTGTGTACATTACCTGCATATATGTGTGTGTGTGTGTGTGTGTGTGTGTGTGTGTGTGTGTGTGTGTGTGTGTATATGTCTCCATACAAATTTTACAGACACTACCATGAATGTTTATCATACTCTTCGTTTTATTAAAACACACATATTTACACACTGGAATCTATACAACAGCAGTAGTGACAACGATATCTACATATATACTGTATATGTTTTTAAAAAATTGATGGAAAATATCTAAGAACCTAATATGTGCAATTTCGTATATTAACATTCGGTACAATTGCAATATTTCATTCATCAAGATTCAGTGCAGTTCTTTCTGAACAAGGATAATGTGAAACATGAAAATGACATGATTTAATTCTTTTCGTTACATAATAGACTACTGGTAGGTGCTTCTAATATTTCGTGACGCTCCTCCATATGTTGTTGTATGTCAGTCAAAGTGAACATTATTATCTTTGTGCTGATCCAGCTCTTGCTTTGGATCGCATTGGATGTTGTGTCAAGTCACACACGATGAGTTTCACCAAATTCCAAAAATACAAAACAGTGACGCCTTGAGATACAAGTGACCCGAGTGTTTCTGAGATACGAGTTGTCGTTCGGACGATGTTTTGCTTGAACTCGCCAGCTTAATGCTCATAAATACCGCAAAACGCCATAAATGGGCGAACAAAAATGATTGGTGTCACAGTATAAAATATTTGTTCTTTTTGGGGAGGCTGTGATGACATAAGATACAAATATCTCAAGGCACCATTGTTCTCACAAAAAGTTCGGGAAATTGGGAACTTTCAAGAGATACCTAAAATTTTGATGAGAGATCTTAATAGAGAAGAGCACATTGTGGAAAAAGTCATAAACAGTTGAACATTTGCATTCCAAGGTTAGAGAAGGTCAAATGAAGTTCACTGGTAATGGTTCTGCAGCATTTTAGGTTCACCCTGAAATTTCATCCTTAAAGCCCAATTTCCTGAACTTTTTGTGAGGAGTGTATCTGGTCAAATAGGGAAAAAGAACGACCCTTATATTGGCTTATCTCTCCCCTCTTCCTTCCCTGACAATCTCCTCCTCCACTCCTCCTCCCGCCTCCCTGATTTTCCTGGCCTCCCGCTCGGTCTCCTCAGCCCTCCTCCTCTCCTCCTGCTCCGTCTTCATGAGCCAGGGTCCTCCCAGGTAGCTCAGGATCTCGTCGGGGTTGCCTCGCAGCTCGGGGTCGGGGTTGAGCAATTGTCGGAAAAGAGCCATGACCAGCGAGCTGAGTCCGCGGAACTGTGACGGAGGCGGGTTGTTCCGGTGGTTCTCCTTCATGATGGTGTAGCAGTCCAATTCCTCCTCGCCGCTTCCACTGCCGCCCTCGCGCTCAAACCAGGCTTTGTATTTGGTGTAGCCCGGGTCGTCGGTGGTGCTCTCTTCCCAGGGGAAGCAGCCAGTCAGGAGGCAGTAGGTGAGGATCCCCAGAGCCCAGCTATCGATGCAGGGCTCCACCCTGATCCAAAGATGCTCCTTCTCCTCCTCCTCCTCCTCTGTGACATCACACTCCTTCGCCTTCTCCGGCTCCTTGACGGGTTCCACCTCGGGGGTGCAGAAGGGCGACTCATACCACACGGCACCGACAGTGTAGCCGATGGGCCGGGTCAGGCCGAAGTCGCCCAGTTTCACCCAGCGGCACGAGCTGTCACACAGGAAGATGTTCTCGGGTTTGATGTCCCGGTGGACGAAGCCCAAGGTGTGGAGGTGGGTCACGGCGCCACTCAGCTGGGACATCACCCTCTGGACTTGTTCCTCGCCCAGGCCGGCCTACAACACACAGAAGTGAGCAGTGATACCTTGACTGACAAGTAGCCTCCAACTGCCACCAACACCGTACACCGCAGTGGCTATGCTATAAGGGGTCTGACATTAAGCTTTGGATAAGGTAGACCTAAGTCATCTGTTGGCTTGTTTGCAGCACCGGGTGGTCTTTAGTGGTAGCGCTCTAGAATGCGTTCCTCGCCCAGGCCGGCCTACAACACACAGAAGTCAGCCACGATGAATTGAGAATGGGAAACGCTTACGGAGTTACTGTGAACAATACAGTGATACCTTGACTGACAAGTAGCCTCAAATTGCCACCGGCACTGTACACCACAGTGGCTAATGCTATAGGGGGTCTGACATTAAGCCTTGGATAAGGTAGACCTAAGTAATCTGTTGGCTTGTTTGCAGCACCAGGTGATCTTTAGTGGTAGCGCACTAGAATGGTTTAGCTCCTACTCGGCAGGCAAGACTTTTTAGTGTTAGTCTCGGATTCTCCGGGTCCCGTTCTGCCCCACTGTCATATGGCGTTCCACAAGGTTGAATTTTAGGGCCCCTGCTGTTTTCATTGTATTTGCAGTCCTTGGGATCATTTTCAGATCTTTTTATTTGTTTTTAAATATGTAAATGGTCTTTCCCCACCTTAACTCTTTGAGCTCCTGCAACCTTTGGTTACCTGCCTGGTGCCTCACGACTGGAGGTACTTAGAACTAAGTGGGGTCTCATAGGGGATCCATCTTTTTCGTTTGCGGGTCCCTTGCTTTGGACTGACCTTTCATGAAACCTTAGGCAAGCCCCCCCTCTCTGTCCATCTTTAAACCTTGCCTTTTTATCTCCTGCCTCACTTCACACACTTCCCCGCTGCTGGCTGGGCGATCGGGGCTGAGTGTTCTCACTCTTATCGCTCCCTTTGCTTGTTACTGGCAGTGACAAGATGCCCGCTAACCTTTATCCACATGTCTTTTTTTTTTGCTGACATGTGTGAAAAGATTAAAATAGACTCACCCAAAAAAAAATACAGAGTTGACATTTACATTTATAAAGACAGCCGGGCCTATCTGTCAACGTTGGCCCATCCCTGTTGTATAGCCATACACATAACAGTCTACCGACCTCCGATACGATCACGCTGTACAGGTCCCCGTAGAGGCCGGCCTGCTGGGCAAAGACGTAGTGCGACGATGTGGAAAAAAAGATGCCCAGTGCGCGCGTCAGAGAGGGATGCGTGCAGTAGGAAAGAGACAAGTTGTACTCCCTCAGGAAGGACGTGAGACTCGTGGACTGACGAGGGAAGAACTTCAGCGCCATTGCTGTTCCTGCAAGGAAATAAATGACACCACATGAAATATACCACAGCCTAGTCGGATGTCAAACGATCATGAATAATCATACACTAAATGCTCAAATGGCTTGCAATTAAGCTGTTTGAGCACAAAGTCATCATCCCGCTTGTGTTGAATTGTCTTGCTGGTGAGGACAGAGAGATACAAGTTCACTGGACCTTAAGCCGGATTTCAAGGATGTGACATAAAACGGCTTTCCACAGTATCGCACATCAATAACCCGGTGAACAAATGTTACTTTCCCTCTGCGGGCGATTGCGTTACGAGCACCTTCGAGCAACCCAACCCTGAAGAATCGCACTTGATTAAAGCAGCGCGTGTGTAAAAGGCAAAATGGACGCCGTCCAAAGCCTCGTCTGTCCTCACATTTCTGCCACAGTTGCCCAACACAACGTAACGTTTCATCACAAGTAGGAAACCGGAGTCGGGCTTGCTTACATTGAGAGATGCGCTTCGTGGCTTTCTTTCGCAATAGAGTAAGCCGTGCGTTACCTAACCGAGTTAGCGAGTGGGACAGAGGTGGGGAGGGCTGGCTGGCGGGGGGGTGGTGCAAATTTCACACTGCGACAACGGAGACGTAATGAGCCTCAAAGTGTCATCGCAACGGGCCGGCTGACCTTTCTTCCTGTGAACGGCCAGCATGACCTTGCCGTAGGAGCCTTCCCCCAGGAACTTCAAGACCTGGAAGTGGTCGGACACCTTGAGGCTGGAAATGGCCTGCGCTGACAGGTAGCAGCGCTCGTCCAGCTCCTTGGCAGTTGCCTCCTGCGTGGGAACAGAGGAACGGGACATTTGACCGCTTTGTCCTTTGACTATTGGTTCAACTCTACGACCGAAAGAAAAATCTGCAAAAAAATGAGCATCTTTTTTGCTGAGGCGGAATTCTCGAACGGTATTCTCTTTGTCTTATGTCGCAATGTGTTAGCGAGACTTCACACCGATCTGATCGGAATGCAAAATATGCACAATCGTTGCCCAGTTGTCCTTGTCAGAATTTGCCGATCGTTGTTTCAATAGGTTGGAGAGATTGATTGGATCGGACTTGTCATTTCCAAACCAGCTGTCCACCAATTTGTTGTGTGTGTGTAATAATGAGGCGATTTTAAATGTCTCTCGAACGTTTCAATCCGCTATCCCAGCGTGCATTGAGGCAGAAGGCGTCAGGACACATGTTCTCTCTCCTTCGCCCGACCGGCGGGATCAACAACACGATGGCGGCATCTGGAGCTGTCACTCAGGTCTTAAATGGTCAACGCTTTGTCTCCCCTAGTCGCAGCTTGGATGATAACGCTTTGAAGTACAGTAAATCCCTTATCACGTCCGCCCCGGCAAATGTGAGAGGGAGGGGAGGGAGGGCGAACATTTAAAAATGTGTTTTTGGCTTTTGATATTCTGCGTGGGCCTGTCGGAGAAAGTTCACCCTGTCGCGCCACGCAAAGGCTTCGTGCACAAATTCCCTGCTCGCGGGATGGGAAAATGTCAGCAAGTGGGAGAGTGACACTTGGCACAGATACGAACAAGACGGCTCGCTTTTAAACGGAACATTTGACCTCTTTGAAGATGTGTGGCGTGTCGATGGATTCGAATGTCGCCAAAATGTGAAGACAGTCACGTCGGACGAACCACGCTTATACGTGTGACCTGGCAGTTTGTAATATATGACCGCCGATGTGAAATGATGCTGATTAAAGGCCACACGGAACATAGTATCAACTTTTAAATTCTTGGACCACTCTCCAATTTCTTGCGGGCTGGCGACCAGTCCAAGGGGGATCCCACATCTCACCCAAAGTCTGCTGGGACAAACCGCCGCTCAATCTGCTTCAGAAAATGGCTGACTGCTTTTGCAGTGTTTTGAGAATAGTGCAACTTTCCTGAATCCAGATCTGTCATTTTTATTTTTATTCTTATTCATGTCGGAAACTTTAATTTGATATATGGACCATCTTATATGACTGAATTCAAGAGTTGGGTTTTTTTTACATTGAATATTATACGTATCATAACTTAAAATCTATTGCAATCTTCTTTTATTTGTGGCCTACAGTAAAATGTTTTGAATGAATTGATGCTGAGTCATCAAGTTTTATTTTGTAAAGCTAAAATCGTTTTTGTATGAAGGCATAATGTGCACAAAGTTTCAGCGTTAGTTGTTTCGTCATTTGTTTTACCTTAACCATCACATTTTCCCTATAAATTTGTGAAATTCAGTCAATATAAAATTGTCATGCGGTCGTACTGCAAGACAGAAGCGAGGTGAACTTTTGACAAACTGTCCTTCTAGCAAGATGGCGCACCTGCGCATTATGCGCGGATGGGAAAACACGTTCACCTGACCCGGCACCGATGGATTTCTTTTTCTGGGGTGTCGTCAGAAATGAGCTTCATGGAAGAAATTCCCACAAGGCGACCAAATCAAAAGATTACACTTCAGATGCATTCACTGAAATTGATGCCGCTGGGAATTTCTGTCGTATTGTGCGTCAGAGTGTTTAGGACGGGCATGAAGATTGTCGAAAGGTTGAAGGCGGATATTTTGAGCATGTGAGGGATTACATTTTCGATGTAAAATGTCAAATACGTCAATATTTATTTCCAGTAAATATCGAATAATTGTGCCCAAAGACAGCTGGGATAGCCTCCAGCACGCCCCGCGATCCTTGTGAGGATGAAGCGGATTGGAAAATGGATGGATGGATGGATGGATGGATCTCATAAAAGTAAAATGTGTTCATCCTACTTTTGGGTTGCAATTATGAAGGCAGCGCTTGTGAGATTATACAATGCATAACTGTGCAATTCATGAATTCACATGTCCTCAATCAGAGAGGAGTCCTGCATTTTTATCGCGTGGAGAGCATGTTTGCAAAATGAAATTATTATTCAAGTTCACCACTTATGACTCATGGATTTCTTTTAGCGCTGCGCGTGGGCCAACATTCTGAACGTGGAGCTCAGAGGGAGCGTTCGACTTACACGAACGCGCTCTCGCTTGAATGTGGTCCAGAAACGCAAAGGCAGGTCGTTGGCAGGCATAAAGCAAACGGACACAGAACGACAGAGAGTATAGCCTTGCGTGCTTCTGGCAAGTTTGCGGATTCAAAACGAGATGGATTCATCTTGGTCAAAGTACTCACTGCCATGCTTGTACGAGGTGTGTGATGGTGGCGCTCTCCTCCTCACGAATCAAGCTGTTGTCGCCGCACCTTCTTGCGCTCGGGTGCAGCAGCTGCGCTGGACTGGAGTCGTTCGTTCTGTGCCGGTTGCGTCGAGTGGACCTGCGGCTGGCTGATCTGCGTACTGGCAAAGTAGACAACAAGCGCCTCTTCCCGGGGTCGCACACGTACACAACGCACTCCCTCTCTTTTCCGACTCTGCGGCTAAGTCTGTCTGCAGCTCGTCTGGTGGGCTCCTGGCAAGTGGGCCTGAACGGGTTGCGAGGTATTTCAAACCTCTTTTTCACCCCCCAGTGTGCCCCCCCCACCCCCCGCCCCTTCCACTTCTAAACACAACCACAGTTGATGGCCCCTGTTTCCAATCTGTCATTCACCTTCACCCTCCCCAACTCTCTCCATCAGACTCTTTCCATGTCTCGCTCTCTTTATGTTTTTTTCCCTCAGCCCTCGCTTACAGTCCGAGTCAGTGATTTCCCTCCGTCGCGTCGGATTCCTGGTTTAATCAACAGGTATGCGGGAACGATCGCAATCGGCCAACAAGCCTGTACCCTTAATCCCAGGACTCTTACTTGGATGACAGGGTACAGTTAAGCGAGCCGCTGCTGGATTTATTGTCCGAGATCACTCTCCTCTTCTGTTACTCTTCATTCCATGTCTATCACTGCACGGGCGGTAATAAAGGAATGACGCACGCTAAATATGTCGACCCACCTTCATGCATTTGACTGTTTGAATCCTTCCGAAAACAAGCTTCAATCATATCCATAACCCTCATCTCAGATTCCATCCTACTGTCCATTGACGTACATCAAGTCATCCTGAGTACTACTGTATGCCGTATAATGTAAAATAAAACAGGGGGAGGAGACGTGACGTCGTATTTGGAACCCCAACCCCCACCTCGCCAAGCCCACAGGAAAACGGAACAGTTTCGAGTGGCCTTTTTAATTGTGGGCAGCCTGAGGCACACCTGTGCAGTAAATGTGTTGCTAAGTGGTCTTGATCTTACTGCTGCTCAGTATTGGCACGAAACCTTCAGGATTCCATTAGAAACTCCCCAAAATGTCAGGAAGTGCATACTAGAACGGCTGAAATGGATTCGGAGATCATCTGAGTCACTTTGAAGGCACGTTTTGACCGTGATTGGGTCATTCCGAACACAACCGCATCCCAGTCACAAGGGTGTGCACACTTTTGCAACCACATGATCTCAGAAAAATAAACGCTAAAGTCAAGAACAGATACTTGGAAAATTACAGAAGTAAAGTAACCAAGTATTTGTACTTGGTGACTTCCCGCCACTGTCTGGAATTGACTCCATTTTGAATCAAGGGCTTTAATTACCGTAATCAATAACACACAATGGTCATACTTCTTCATGATCGACGGCTATATCAAATATAATACCCATCCAACTATCTCTTTCCCGGAGCATATTATGGGATGTCAGCTGAGTTGAAATGGAGCCTTACAAAAATAAAAATAAAAAATACAGCATTAGCATGTCCGTGCCAGCTGTTCTTCCTACTTAGCACCATCTGCAGGTCAAACTTCCTCTTCTCCGTCTCTCTTCGCCTCAACACCCTCCTCCTCTTTCTGTCGACGCCCTTAGATTTTCCCCTGGTAGTACATACTACCCGAGTAGTATTGCTCCCGCCAGCGTTACGTAACACAAACACAGGCTGCTATCACGACGGCCGCGCCGTGCTCAGGTTACTGAGCTCACCCACACGACCCCTGCTGTGTTTTGCGCCTCCCATGCATGCCGCGCGCTAGAAAGTTTGTAGTCACCCCGCAGGGGTTCCTTGGCCCCTGCTGTGGCAACCTCGATCCACTCTATCATCCAAATATACAGCCTTCATCACAGGATCGACGCCATTCACACGCGAACATAGTGCGCGCAAATATTTTGAAGTCACACGGTGATTCTCGCAATGGCAGTTTGCATGAATTCCACTCAGATTTGCTGCAACCCGAGTGTGAAAGTAAACCAACAACTGTGGGTTTCTTAAGGTTGATAGTTCCTCCACTGGTGGGTAAAACAGAATAATTAATTCAATTCTCCTGTCATATTTTGTCATCTCTCACACTTCACCGAAAGATTATGTGAAATGATTTTTACCGATTTGTTTCTAAATACATTCAATGTGTTTGAAGGTAAAAGCTGAATATATACGAACACTGACATCAATTTTGTATTGAATTGTTCAAGAGTGACATAAAACCTTTTACCACTTTGGTTGTTCACATTTTCGCGAGCCCGCTACATAGCGAGCCTTCAGCCCACTGAACCGCTAGCACATAAGTTAGCAGCTAACTTATGTGGACTCACTCACAACACACACAAAACCAGCAGTGACTCGTTGCAAAACACTGATGCCGTTCCACGGTCCACAAGCTAGCAGGCCATAAGTTCATAAGTTCGCTGTCCATCAAATATACTTTTCAAGAATAAAACCTATGTCTCTTTTTTTTTAATGAAAACTTAGGCTTATGACACTACTGTGGCGTTACTCTGAGCAAAAAGTTCAAGAACCACTGATGTGTATCATTTTTTTAACAGAGACAAAATGGATGTGTAGCCTACTTATATTCATAAGCACGTTATTGTTATTGAAAGTACCAAAGAAATTAAATATATTGCTGGCCTGCGAGCTAGCAAGCCCGCTATTTTTTATTTTTTAGCCCGCGAGACCGCATTATTATGTGGACCCTCCCACCACACAAAACCATGTGAGATGATGATTTATTGGATTATATCGGTCCTCGAGCTAGCAAGCAGGTCGCTAGCTAGCCATCAAATATACTTTTCGGGATTTTAAACCTGTGTCTCGTTTTTGACGAAAAGTTGGACTGAATACACTTTTGAGGTGTTAGCATAAAACTGTTTGAGAACCGGTGACGTATATTATATTTTGAACATAAATGGATTACTCCAAAAAACACATTTGAAAATGTTTCCTTCTCAAAACTAGAAATGGTTGGGAATTTCTGATTCAAATGCCAACAAGATTATTTCAATTTTTTTACAGTTGATTTGAGAATACCCATATTGGTTGGATGAAATGATGTGTGTGGGATAATAAAGATTGACAGTGTGACATAACCACCCGCCGCACCACCTGTCACAATGGCCTTTTGTGACAGTGATAATCGCCTGCATTTTTGAGGGTTTATCTCCATGAGATTAATATTTCCAAAACAGTGTCACTGTGCGTTAGTATACTATCTTTCCACACGGGTCACACTGCTGTGTTTTCTCTTGTCGCCATTCCCTGTGGGGACCTGACACATGCGTGATATAAGAGGAACATGGGAACATGCATGTCTGCGGGGCCAGCTGTTCCTGTGTTGCTCTGATCTATGGGGCTTACCGGTACTGTGTAGTATTTACGGATCCACAAATGACTGTGAGCGAGCGTACAGTTAGTCCGATGATGCCGCTATGTGGCTGGCGCACGGTACAACTACAACCCCCCTGTCACACATTACAACTGCTCAGTCAGCATGCCTGCATGTGATTGGCACCACTGCATGGCAAAGACAATAACATTGTGTGGTACACGTCCTCCACCAAGGTTAGACTGTCAACTGAAGTTAAAAAAAGCAGCCACTGAAGGCTTTGTTGAGTGCAAATTTGGAAATGTTCGTGCGGTCCGGCAGTTTGTGAGATCATCAGCGTGCGCTCGGACAAGAACGAGGCATTCAGAACTCTGGTGACTGAGAAAATACTCCACAGTGTCATATTTTTGGTCATCTTTTGGCAGTGTTAAACTGCACCACATTACACTGAGATGTTCCAAGTACATGTACTTTGCTTACCTTATTTAACAGAATGATTTTGAGAAGTGGTTCCAAAATTTTTTCACCAAGTAGCACGTTAAAAAAAAACATAATTGTCGATTTAAGTTCCCAAATAATGACCAAAATTGAAACGCAATAGCGTAATAGCCTTCAAAATAGTATTCATTAAAAATGAAAGAGAGGTTTTATTCATAAAATCTATATTTTATATTATTGTTTGAACATTAGCCTGCTCTTCAGTATGAGAAAAAATGCACTTGATTGAAATAAAATATATCGCACAAAATGGTTCAATAAAAAGTGCACAGACATAAAAGTGTGGAAACAAAAAGTGCTTTAAGATTACCGGTAAATGCATAGCTTGCAATAAAAAGTGAAATACAACTGAACTGTACCAAGACAGTGAATTGTTTCGCATACCACTAGAGGGAGCCCACATACTACTAATGGAACTATTACCACACAGACTCACGGAGAGGGTCCAAATATTAAAAATAAAGAAATAACAAATGTTTAAAAAGTCTTACACCACTGACATACTGTATAGAACATGTACTACACCGGAATAAGTCAAGAGACAACATTGAGCATACAGTATAATTGTTCTTTACTCGTGTAAAATAAAACAAAACTAAAATACTTTTTTTAAAATCCGCTTTCTATGTAATTTGGTGGAACCTTTGCCAAATAAGATTCACTCGTACAGTACGAGTGAATCGGAGTAGGAGTAGTAGTAGTAGTAGTACGAGTCGTACTACTACTACTACTCCGACTCCTATTTCTACTTATATTTCTCCTATACTGCACCACCTTCAATGACAGACAGACAGACGATAGACGGATAGATAGATAGATAGATAGATAGATAGATAGATAGATAGATAGCAACACAATGATTGTAAATTGTTCTCATGTCGTTCGACTATTTTATTGACTTTGTTGTAAACGATGCCAAGTGACAACGAACAGGACTTGCTAACTTGGCGGGGCGTGCGTGCGTGCTTGCGCGCGCATGAGGAAAACAAAGGTGGCGGGGGTGCGGTCTGGCCGTCGTCGAGAGCGGAAGCGGAAACTCGGCCATCTCCTCCTCGCTGCTCCGTTTAGGGTAGACCAGGGTCAGTCCAGACGCTCCAATTCGGATCTTTTTCTCGAGCCGACTCGTCACCAATGTGGCCCACGTTTTGTTTTTTCGTGTGACCGCGTCACACTCGGCCCTGCTCCTCATGCCGGGCCTGCTCGCGCCGTTTGGCAGTCCTACTGGCCAACTAGCATTGGCTAGCTTGCTAGCTAATCTCTCCTAGCCGCAAGCTGCAAGTTATACCTTTGACCACTCACCGGTAGGCAACATAAACATTCGTTTTGACGTCCGCTCTGGTTGATTTGTTCACAATGATCACTTAACCGCGTGCTGGAATATTGGTTGTAGCTTGTTGGCGGACAGCTACAGGCATCGTGTAGCTCATTTCAACTTTAGCCAGACTGAAGTGAGAGCTTGGGGGCAAAGTGCTTTTCTAGCTCAGCTCAGCTCAGGTAACGCACGGGACAGTGGTTAGCATTAGCTCGCACGAGCAAACGACAGATGAAGTCAGTGGTTATTTTTCCAGTGTATGAACCGCTAGTTTAGCTACTTAATCATACATTCAATTGTTTTAAGACTAATCTATTGTGGAGTGTGCGGCTGGAGTAGCCGTCCGGTTTTGGCAGACTAAGTTAGCTCGGCAAGTGCTCAGTTGGTAGGCGTGTCAAGTGGGGGTGCCGGTTTGCGGGCTGGAGGTTGTTTCATTATGTCAATTTGTTGCTTGTTAAACAGAACATTGCGTTGTACTTGGACCATACGATGACAAGAAAGGATTTCTATTCTAATCTGGCCGTCGTGGTTGCACGTCATAAATGGAGTGTCGCTACGAGCTGTCGATATGAATCGTTAGTAGCAAATTCTCCCCAAACGAGACCGTTTTTTTTTTTTTTAATACAGCGCGAATTCACTAGTTATGTGAAGACACTTTACACAACGAGCAAGTGAACAACCAAACTCGTCAATCATAATGTTACAGTGTTTAAGGAAACCAACGGAACTCCACAGGCCTCGAAATAACAACGTGACAAGATTTCCCCAAAACGACAGTCTGTCAGATGCTGAGTCTTGTTAGAACAGCTACTTTAACCCAAAATACACCACACGAAGATTTGGGAATATCATTTGAGGGATTGAAAAGAAATACTTTTTTTGTCTTAGTAAAAAGAGCCTTTTTTTGGGGCACTGTTGTTGTGTTGCATCGATAAGAGAAACTCTGGCTTGAAAACACTTTTAAATTTGAGTAAAACACGAACTTCATTTTTTTTCTCAACTATCTCCTCAACCCATTTATCCGTTCGTCTGCTACTCGGCAAATGCCTTCTCCAATTGGCGTTCAAAATTCGGATAGGTTCAATGCGTCAAAAATGCTGTCAAAAAAGCTCGATCCAAATAGCGCAGATGGAACGTATTTGGTGAGAAGAGCAGTGTTGGCTGAGGAATTGGTCATCTATTTAAGCTGTTTTTGTCAATTTGTTATGGGGTATTTTAGAAGTGTTTGAGATGCTCATTACATGTTTAAAATTGCCAATTCACACCTGCACATCAAGCATCTGTGCATTGGGAAACAGCGACAGGAAATTGGGTTTTGTGCCTTCTTGTATTTTATCAAACCACAAAAACATGGCATGATTGTCAAGTAAGAAGCTGGAGCGCATCTCAGCTTCTGGGTCATTGCTAGTTATACGTTATAAAAAATGTATTTATGTTTATACTTAGTTCCACTGAGTCTGCAAATCCATTTTTTTCCCAGTCTACATCGTGTTTTTTCTTGGTGAGTAGCCACTCTACCTAGGGAGCTATGGAACGGTACTTTTTCATCAATAGGGTACCTGAAATTCACAGATCTGATATGTCAACAAAAAGCATTTCCAGTCCACTCCCTTATCCATTGGCTTGTCTGAACTTTGAGACTCAGCGGTGGCTAACTGACGCAGATTCCTGGTTTGGTATGCAACCTTTGACCTTGGGCTGGGTGATATGACTGAAAAGTAAATGGACATATAAGAAATTCGTATTGGTCGATGTCCGTACATTCAGATTTTTTATTTATTTATTTTTTTATTGTTGAAAGAAAGGCTGAATTTAGGTTATTTTATATGAACAGATATAATGCTTAAACAAGAAGTCACCGATGAAAAAGTCAAATAAACCTTTTTCAACATGATGTGCTTAGTAGGGCTGAAAAAAGTTTCACAATTCAAGTATTTCACCTCACTCATTCTAGACTTTTCTTGATTTGTTTTCGAACCGATTTTAAATAAAAAAACTAGAATAGAAATTCATCGGCCACCCTTTGTTTATTTTGCTATGTTGCTTTTCAACACAAACAAATTCTGCTGTGACCTTCAGGCAGCGTTTCGTGCCGCCGTTGCGTTTTTCAAAGTTAGTGTGATACAACTGATGCTCGTTCTGACATTTCGGATTGTGAATTCTCGATCCGTAAATCTGTCTGGTAACCCAAGCAAATCAAATCTGTTCTCTCTGCCCACGAGCTACTTGTTAATTTCCGATCATCTGACTTTTTCACCAACTGAATATCTGCTTTGTCCTCATTTTATCACGGGCACTTTGGAATCTGCTGTTCGTGTGCGTGCGTGCGTGCATGCATGCGCACGGGTCACTTGGCACTCAACACCAACTGACCACGTCATTCATGTGTTTTTTTTCTGTCTTTTCTCACTTTGCAGTCTTCATCTCGCGAGCCAATGTTGCCACGGGAAGAAAAAAGACACAGCTCGCTGTGAATGAGTGGCGCGCCAGCACGCGTACCAAGAGAAGCCCCGATTCTGCATTATTCTTGTGTAACAGGTGTGCGGGACACTGACTTGCCCCATTTACTGCAAGACACTCTCCCTGACCTTTTTTTGGACCGAAGAGTAAAATTAGAAATTGTGATTTCCTCGAGGAACGCCGATTTTCGATGTGGCAACTTATTTTGTAATAGCATCCACATATAAGTTATGTATGCTAAGAACGGCATCCGCTAATACTAGCTGACAAATGATCTCAAGCCTAGAGCTACCCTCCTGTACCGGTGAAGCATCAATTTTATATTCCTTATGGTTGAGTTGAATCGGTATGAAGACATCGAAATGTATTTATTTATTTATTTTTTTAACAACCGCTCCTCAGATTCCAGCACAGCTCGACGGCCCGACGGTTGCCATGTCGACCTCATCGCTACGGCGACAAGTGAAGAACATTGTCCACAACTATTCAGAGGCTGAAATCAAGGTTGTATCTTCTGGCTGGAATGGAAACTATTTTCACCTTTTTATTTATGTTTCCCCCCTAAACGCCCACATCCTCTTGTGTGTGCACAATTTTCGTCAGCTCTTCTCATGCCCCCGCCCCCACCCCACCCCTTGCAGCAGCAATAGGACAAATGTCTTTCCGTAATCTAATATTTGTTTGAAGCAGTCTTTCCTCATTATATAGCGCATGAACTCGCATAATCATGTTAGGCCTCCATTAATTTGCCTTTGCCCGCTCATTTGCATGATGGTTTGCATTGACGCAAAAGCGCACAACGCAGCAACCTCGAATGTGGCGCAAATTGATGCGGCGGTCGCCGCATTGAACGTCATTCAATTCCGTCTCTGGTTTAGGTCCGAGAAGCCACGTCCAATGACCCATGGGGCCCCAGCAGCTCTCTGATGTCAGAGATAGCCGATCTGACGTACAATGTTGTGGCCTTCTCCGAAATCATGAGCATGGTGTGGAAGCGGCTCAATGACCACGGCAAGAACTGGAGGCACGTGTACAAGGTGCGTAGGACTTACTCGCATGCTCCGATATTGTCTGCAAATCAACGTCTCCTATCCCGGGCTTACCATAATGACATTTTGGAAGTTAAAATGGATTGATTTCCTGTTTCCGGTGCAGTCGCAGCAGTTCAGCCGAATAGGAGCTTAGTTGCCTCAACTCCTTATGACGTCGCTCATCGATGCGCTCCTCAGCACTGGTTTCACGATGTAAAATACGTACGTGGTCTGCCCTCGTATCCTGCTTGTCGTGTGTCAGTTCGCCACATTATCTCGTTCGCGTTGGCCACAAGCTTGTTCGTGGCACTTACAAGCACGTAAGGGTGTGTCATTGGCAGTTTGCGTTCTGTCGAGTCACCTAAGTGGTGTCACGATTGTTGCCCCCTTGCAAAGTTTTTGTGGGAATTAGAGGTCTGCTTTTTATTACATGACTTATTACGCGACCGTTTTTGTTTTTGCGCAGTGGCCTGTAACCTGAAATTTTAGGGGCCTCGTAGAAGATTTAGGGGCACACACTGGAAATTGACTTACATTTTCACGAGATTACTGACGGGCGCGAGTAGATGAAAATTGTAGTTGCGCTGTTTCAAATTTTAGGGGCAAAAAAAATGAAACTTTTTGTTTGTGTCTGCCAGGCCATGACTCTTATGGAATATCTGATCAAGACGGGTTCAGAGCGGGTCGCCCAGCAATGCCGAGAGAACATATACGCGGTCCAGACCCTCAAGGATTTCCAGTACATCGACCGGGACGGCAAAGACCAGGTACGTAAACACACCGCCGCTCGCAAAAGTGTGTGCATTGCTAAATGCAAAGTCAGTCCTAAGGAAGTGTCGCCTTTTTGCGGAGTCCAAAGCATGCTTGAGTCAAATGTGCTCTGGTGCAAACCTCACGAAGGCGGCTGTAAAATAGCGGCACAGCGAGAACAATTTGACAACTACCTCCGACGATGCCGTACAAAAGCATTTCAAGTGACTTTTAGGAACACAACATGGGGCCCTTCATGTTTTTGTCCCGAATTCTCCAGGGCGTGAATGTGCGCGAGAAAGCCAAGCAGCTGGTGATCCTGCTGAAAGACGAAGAGAGACTAAGAGAGGAGAGGATCCACGCCCTCAAAACCAAAGAGAAGATGGCACAGACCTCCAGTGGTGAGGCGCTTTGGTTTGCCTCAAAGTGGCGACCGCACTCACCACTCCCCCAACGCACTCCTCTTCCTCATACGCGCGTTGACGTTGCGTTCCAGCTTCTTCGGCGCCGTCGGCGCCCAACCTGGGGGGCAGCCTGTCGCTGGGCTCCCACTCTGGCGGCGCCGACCCTGAGCAGGCGTGGCCCCAGAGTTCCGGCGAGGAGGACCTGCAGCTTCAACTGGCTTTGGCCATGAGTAAAGAAGAAGCCGAGCAGGTAATTGTCGCAAGGCAGCCTCGGGGAGGGAAAAAAACAGTTTGAGTTTAATTGGCAGTTGCACTCTATGTCAGCAAGCGTCCCGTCATACAGATGAAAATTCAGTGATGTGAAGCGACGCCTCCGCCTAGCTTTGCTCTCACCATGTAACCCCTGACCTCCCCCCAGACTAGCAAGGACCCCCTGGAGGACGCGGAGATCCGCTATGCAATCACACTCAGCAAAGAGATGCTTCAAGAGGTTAGGGGCAGTTGGCAGGCGCAGCCGAGCCGCCAGCCATCGACTCTCTATGTCTTTCTGTCCACTTCAGTTCACAGCATTGTCCAATCAAGATGACAAATTGGTTGTGATTTGGCACGCGTCATTTTCAGATGACCCTGAAATTGTTTGAGGTGCTTTCACACCTATCGTTTCCTTTTTGCGGTCGACCTTGCTTTTGTCTGTTTCCTCTCCTCCCTCCCGGTGCGGTTTCTTTTGACACGGTAAAAAAAAATCAATACACACAAAGTAAAATGCATCACAATAAACAAATTGGCTTCACTCTCTTTGTTCATTGGCGCTTGGCAATTTTTATTTGTCACGGGCAGTCGACCCAACGATGACGCTGTCGGTCAAGACGCGGCGTGGCTAACAGTTTAGTCAGTTAACAGCCAGCCGATAGTACCCAGTGGCCCTTGTCGGTCCCATCCTGCGGACTTGGGCCCCCTGGCTCCTTATCTTGAGCCAGCAGTCTCGAACTTGAGCGTTAAACTGGACACTTATGTGAAATTGGGCCGGCAAATTGTTAACTCCAGCTTCTTTCATCTCAGGCAGCTGGCTAAAGTCAAGCCACTCCTTTCTCTAAGCACTTTGAAACAGTCATTCATGCTTTTGTCACATCTCGGCTGGATGGCTGCAATGCACTTTACTTTGGAGTCAGCCAATCCTCCATGAAGCGTCTCCAGTTGGTCCGCACTGCTGCCGCTTGACCGGCACTCGAAAGAGGGAGCACGTCACTCTGGCTCCTTACACATTTCCGAGTTTTTTTTCAGATCCTATGATTTGTTTTCAAATCTTGAAATGGCCTGGCCCCACCTTACCTCTCGGAGCCCTCGGGTACTGGAACGCCGTCGTCACTCCGAGGACCTCTTTGTTCATAAGATAAGATAAGATAAGAAAACCTTTATTAGTCTTCATACGTTCTGATTAGACTTCATACGTGTTGACTTAAGTTTTAATCATTACGCCTTCAAAGACGTCAATCGTTCATTTGCCAATTGCCAGAGTGCCCTTGAGATGGTTCATTTGAGCCATGACCAAAGTTCATGACTGTACTATGTTAACGCCTGACCAGACAAACCGCACCATAGGGGAAAATGGGCTCCATTTTGATTGAGAAAGGACCAAGCACACGAATGTATCGGCTGTATTTCATGGTTTCAATCTGATCGATCCCAATGGTGGAATTTTTGCATGCCAAATATCTTGTCTAACGCCACGTTTAACCCTGAATGGTGTACTCAGCAAATGTTGATTCTTTCCTCATGCGCTGAACTTTGGGCTTGAATCGAAATCCCTCCTATTGCCATCTCACTCCTGTTATCTTTCTGTGTTTCTTCCTGAAACCACAACATATGCGGTCAAGTCTTTGTTTTTCAGCCCTGAGATCAAATGTCACTCAATGATCTGGATATGGCACATGCCTCTCCTTTGTTTGTTGACTTCCATTGTCGGGTTCCTCCTATAAGGAGACCCCCGGTTGGTAATTACCCTGCAACGTGCTGTGAGACTTCAAACTGGTTAGTCAGTTGGGTCAGCATGTGCTACTTCTTTTGAACAGACCCTCATGAGCCTAAAAAGGAAGAAAAAAAATAAGACAACCTCTGATTTGTCCAGAGTAATTTGTCAATATATGAGCTTTATATGCATCTCAACCTATTCTTAGACTGTATTTCATTTCATGTTACCCAAGGGACTTTGTAGAAAGCAGTCTTAAGACTCTTAAAAAAAAAATCTTATTGCCTACCTCAAGTTGTGTATTCGACTTTGCTCATGTCACTGTGTGTTTGTGTGTGTAAATGTGATTGGCAGGAGGAACGACTGCGCAGAGGCGACGACTTGCGACTGCAGATGGCCATCGAGGAGGGACCTCTTTGTTCATACAAACCAGAAGAGGTGTGTGTGTGTGGGTGTGTGGGTGTGTGTGTGTGGGTGTGTGTGGGTGTGTGTGTGTCGCTCTCAAACATCACTTGCTTGGATAGGAATGTCTTTTGAATTCACCTTTTTCCCCAAAGTGATTTTGTCTTCGCTTCCATTGACTCCACGTTCAGTTTTTGGATAAATGTTACATATTGGGCTTGTTTAAATGCAACAAAATGCTTTTTTTTTTTGTTCCGAAATGCTCAGTCTTCTCCGCCACACCGAGCTACTCTCTCCTCTCTCCTCGTATCTTTATCTCGATTATTGCGCGCCTAATCCTTTCTTCAGAGAGTTGCGTCACATGATTGGTTCGCCAATCCATCGTCATTACGCGTGACGTTTGACTTCGTTTTGCCAATCAAACCGAGCCGGGCAGTCCCAAGACTGCCCACAGTCTCCGCTGCGCCACATAGAAGCAAAAAGTTTGGAAAGTGACACATGGACACCAAATCCAACCCGACTCGATATTAACCCGACAGCTCGGCTTGTGGTGAGAGCCATTTAGGAAATGGACGACCAAACTGCACTGTCACCCGCGCGTGCCTAAAAATGTGAGCGTTTCAGCCGACAAAAACTCTGCTTGGAACTTGGGCCACATAAAAGGCGGTCTTCATCCGCATTTGAGAAATGTAACGGAATATGCAGTCTGGATAAAACGGAAAGGATATTTCACGCAGAGCGCCCTCATGGAACTGAGTGCCGTGGACCCCTGGGGGCCCCCTCCCGTCGCCGCCGCTCCCGTCCCCGCCGTGGGCTCAGCCGGCCCTTCCCCTCCGCCCTCCCTTCCCATCGCCCCTTCGGGACCATGGGGTACGTCCGCCGCAGACCCTTGGGGCGTAGCCTCGCCCGCCTCCCCACCACGTACCATGCCATGGCC